ACAATTAGGTAACTGTCCACCTCGGAACAAGTTTATTCCTTCCACTTCTCTTTGAAAGTCCTCCTATATCTCAGACCCTTGTTTGCCTCATATTAGCCGGTAACAGGTTCCAGCCTTTGCCTCTGCACCCAGTGCAGTTGCCTCACTGCGTGACCTGGAGCCTCCTCCACACGCTATTGGCAAAAAGCTGTCGGATCTGTAGGGCCTGTCCCACAAGAGCTTCCTGCGTGGAGAAACGAGCAGCCTTGAGCTGCTTCTCTAGACTCCAGCTCAACCAGTTGTCCTCTTTTTATCGGTGCAAGCAGCAGGCCAGACTTCTTGCCCAGACGTTGCTACTCAACCACAAACTCGGCGAGTTTGCTCTGATCTTGTTTGATTTGCTAGAGGCATCTACATGCCTTCTTGCTTGATGCTGTGTCAGTCATTCACCTCTACAGCAGGGCTGGTGTTGCGCTCGGCTCCTTCCATTCTCACTGCTGCGCTGACATTTGCATCTAGTTTTTAAGGTTTTGGTTCAGAAGATGTGGTTCGGTTTTTGCCTTCTATCAGTAGATTATCAGTAGGGGTGCAAAGGTAAATGCTTGTCTTGCGAAGAAAATCCAGGTCTTCTTAAGCTGATTATGAAGAATATTGTTCCTCAGCCTTACATGTAAATGAAAAACTTAACAGGCCTTCTTGAGCTGTAGGTTTAAATCCGAGACGCAGTGCTGGCTGCAGCTGACCTGAACTGGAAGGTGAATCGATCACGGGACGGTGTGGAAGGCAGAGCTGGCGAAGGAAGCTCAGTCTTGCTTTGGAGAGCTGCGCTGCGTCACCGCCTCTGCTGGAGGGCTCCTTGGTGAAGCCAGCCTGGTGGAGTGAAGCAAACTTCTCATGGATGTGTCTGCTCGCGACGTGTTCCTCATTTTGAGGGTAGTCAGCGTGAAACTCAGGACAGTGACTAAAGAAGAGTTAAGTGCTTTTGCTGGTGTGTGCCCCAAGCTGTCTCCTCTTGTTCCCTCAGCCTTCTGACCTTCTGCAGAGGTGGTTTTGCTGGTCGCATAGCGAATGGGGAATCACAGCAGTTCAGTCCAGTGTATTTGATGTGTTTTGAAAACATTTACATCGCAGTGGTTCACAAATAGAAAAGGCTGTGTAGGAAGAGGCACATGAACAAGTTTTACCCCTGGGTGTCCCAAGATGGACAACGGTCCATGAACGTGTGCTTGTAGTATCTCACAGAAAGTCCACAGGTGGAGAGTTGGATATGCTTTTTAAATTAATTCTTTAATAGGTTTATGCTAACTCATGATATCAGTTACAATGGTACAGAGGGGTAGTGTTTCTACTGGTACTTCATATGCAGTCTGCAGCCAAGCTTTGTATGGAGTTTGGGTGATGCATCTCTTTGGCCATCTGCGGATCTAAGGACCAAAATCGGAGATCACCAAGATCTATGTTTGAAAGAGATGCAAAGAATTGGATGAAGATAAAAAATAGAAGATGATGTCTGGCTAATAGCAAGTAAGAAGCTGAAGGCTGCCGATAGAGTTCAGTGAGCAGTCATGTATTTTTAATAGCTTGATTATACCCAGGGAAAAGCCGTGCCCTCCCAGCTTACAGCTGTGCTGATGCTGTCCAGAAACTGGCAGGCAGGAGAATTGGTAATGTGTCCATTAGCTGGGCTTTCTTTTATGTGAAACACACCCTCTAAAGAGGGACCGTGCTACAGGCAGCAATATTACGATCAAAGTCCTTTCTTTGGAGTGTTGAAACTGCTGGGAACTTGCTAGGTTCATGAATTTATGTACGAAGTCTCTGATTATCTTCAAAGATGAGGTTTCCTCTTTGGTTTCTTTTAAGGCATCTGGCTGTGGAACCAGAGTTTGAACCAGTCGATACTCCTTGCCGCGGGCAGTTGTGCGATGGTCGGTATTTATGTGGGTTTGCCGTACCTGGATGCACGCTGGCTCCCGAGGCGTGTGCCGAGCAGGGCATACCCCGGGGCGCTACGTAAGCTGCGGAGCGTGGGTTGGAGGTTCAGCGTGAGGAGAGCGCAGAGGGAGGCAGGAGGCATCCCAAAGCCGCCCGAGTTTGTCGTTGGGCTTACAAGAGCTCAATGATGCTCTGTGATTCTGAACTAGAAGTCAAAAATTGGTAGCCCCGATTGTGCAGTGTGTCTTGTGCTGTGTTCAGGAGGGTAGTTACAACTGTCAGTGTTGTAATTTTTTTTCTAGATGCTGATTTCCTGTGCAAATGAAGATGACTTAAAAAACCCCTCACCTAACCAAACATATACTGCTTCCAGTTCTTCACTGCCTTCCTCTGCAGGGCCAGGAGGGCTCTGGCTGCATCGATGTTGCTGCAGGACCGGGGAGCTCAGTGCAGCGCTGCCCAGTGGAGCATTGCTGTTAGTACTGTCAGTAGTTAGTAATGCCCAAATAGATGTATTTTACATTGTTTGGGGTTATTATTTTGCTCTGTTTATCCTGCATTAGGATTCCATGTGGTTTCTGCAGTGAGGAATGTTGCACATATGTTCATCTTACTGAAATATTGTATCTTATAATAATATATCTTATTTCACCACAGGATTGACCTCTGTAGGCTCTTATAGCAGTAGTAAAACTGGCAATAAATATTTAACCTGTGGATCACGAAATAATAATAATTTCATTTGAAAGAATAGCATAGCTTACAGGGAGTAAAATACAGACAAATTCTGCTAGGTTTTCTGTTCAATGTTTATATATTTAATCTTGGTGTGTGTCATGTGCCACATGCAACTACTGTGCTAGAGAAAATGCGTTTTCAAGGAAATGCTTCCCATGCATATGTGGCCTTTTGTGGGGAAACACCAACGGGTGCAAACAGTCAGGTCACTTTGCCGTCTTTCTACAAAACCATTTAAAAGAGCTGGAGTGGGAGGGGAAGGTCACTGTGGGAGTGTGGAGACAATCTGTTGGAAGAGGATTTAGGTTTAGGGGTTAGCACCAGGTCAGGAGGAGCATCGCCTGACAGCCTGGGTTACAGGAATGTGGCGTGATGTAGACCAAAGCTCTAGTGTAACGTGAAAACCCAGGATAAAATGATTGAGAACAGTGAGGAGAGAGCTGCAGAGAAGGCTGCCAGCGGGGCAGCGATGCTCCTACCTCTTGTAAGCTGTTCTGCAGAAACGCTTGACGAGTTAAGGCTTTGTAAGTGAAAACTTTTGGTAAAAGCTGAGTCAGCAAGGGACAAGCTAATAAAATTGATGCTTATGGGAGAGAAGGGGAGAGAGGGAGAGAAGTTACAAGCTTTTCATCAGCATGGTTAGAGCTGACTGTAGGATGAGATCGGACTGATTTAGGTAACGCAACATTAGTGGGGCTGAAGGTTGGACCTGCCTAGAAGCAGGTTGGTGAGAAGATCTGCTTCATGTTGTTGTCAAAATGGAGCTGCACGTGGGTGCCGAGGCTGACTCTGCGATGGGGCAGAGTCTGGCACCGCAGGTGCTCTGAGACCCTCGCTTCTCCCCAGCTTAACACCTGGGGCTTGAACGAGGTCACCCTTCACAGACTGAATATGTCTGTGTTTCTTAATGTCAGTGAATTCGTAGACATTTCAATGTTAAGGCTTTTCTGTTTATTTTTTCTTTGTAGAATGTGTAGACACATGCAGTTGTCATTCAGGATTTGGCTGCTGTTGTTTAGGTACACTTACCTAGTCCCTAATTATTTTTTTTTATTAAGTATTACAAAAAACTAAGTTCGGAAAAACTTTCTCTCTGAATTTCTCTCCTTCCCAGCTTGTTTGCAGAGGAGGAGATTAGCAAAGGCTTGCTTTCTTTTTTTCCCAGGTTTTTATCAGCCACTTGGCAAGAATACCTGAGAACCTCCAGAGTCTTTATTTCATTCACTTTCAAAGCACCTCCCTGGGATGAGGGAGTGTTACGGGGCCCATCTTGCAAGTCCCTGGGAAGACACTTTTAGATTATTTTAGGCTATGGTAAGCTGGAAACTAAACTCTGGCATCCTGAAGCTCAGGCTGGTGTATAAATCACTGGCTTTTCCCTTACCCAAGACTTCCTCAAACCCTCATTATTTTCACAAAGGATTATAGCTTTTCTGAGGCTAGGAACTGAACAAAGAAATAAGCATCACTGAGTCTGATTAGAAACATGCTTTGTTTTTTTTTTTTTTCTCATTTCTTGCAAGTGTAGTAAGGAAATACATCAAATACAGAGCTGAAAAAACAGGACTCATTGTAGTAAATGAATGTGTCCCAGGTCAGTATGATAAAAGTCCTGCTTAACCAAAGCAAGTAACCAAGACTTTTTACTGCTCTGCCACTTCGTCCAGAAAAAAAGAGAAAATCCCGCCTTTCTTGCTCAGGCAAAACTGCTGAAATCAGTGGAAGTGGGGCTAGCAGCAGAACAAGGATAGGAAGAGGAAAAAGAGTAAACCTTAGCCCCCAGGACTGTAAAAACCTAAAACGTAAGGCTCTTTAATTCGCATTTACCTTCTCAGTGCAGCCTTGTGTGGCATTAGATGAAACAGTACGACTCGTAGGAGATACGTGGCACCCCAAAAAGAGGGTGCATTGAGTGAGGGCATTTATTTCTAAGTCATTTTGTAGCAAATTCAGATTTTGGCTGCATCTTAGAAAGAAATATCACCCACCCTGGAGCAAAGGTCCAGCTAATATCCTTGTCTCTCCTCAGCTTATGGCTGATACATGTCGGCGTCAGAACTGACCCGTTTCTTTTGCCTGAACCGCAGAGCTCCATCGTTGGGAGTAGAGATGGTGCTTGGCCTCGGGAATTAATTTGAAAACCTCAGGTTTGGGAAGGAGCTGTGCTTTAGCATGCAGTGCACAGAAAAAGTGCCTGTTTGCTGTCCACGTGTCTCTGCTCCATCTTGTCTTTTCAAATTCATCCGGGTAGGGCGCATGAGAAGTAGTAGCGTTATAGATAACGTAGGTGATGGCTTACGTGGTGACGGCTCTCAGGGGCTGATCCAGAAGCCAGAAGATGTAGATGGTCATATGTGTCGGCCTGGCATGCTGTCTTTCACGTTGGGTTTCCCGTTTGCAGATCTAGAGAGAGAAAAGGTTTTGATTAATGTGAAAGGAACAGGAAGGCAATTAATGTATGGCTGCTGATCAGCTCCTTTAGCCTTGGTCTGCAGCCAGAGACCTCCCAAGAGCAGCCTGCAAAGTGTTCCTAAATCCTCTGGGTGCTAGTGGAGGATCTGCCAACGTTTTAACTAGTGACAGCCAGTAGAAGGACTTTATTAAGGTAAACTGGTAATCAATTGTTACACTAATAAAAAAAAGAAAGAGGGGGGTGTGTCTTTTAAAAATTTACCTCTGACTTCTGCACCCTCCTATCTTTTCATCAAGCCTTTCTCCACGTTCAGAAAGGAATGAAGAAAGAAGAAAGAAGAGCTCGGGGCTTCTTTTTTGGGTTGGGGAAGCTGTGATCAGTTCATAAAGAGTTTTTCTTGTTGCAAACCAGTTTCCTGCAGAGGAGTTTAAAAGGAGGCTTTCTCGACAACCAGCGTGCTCCCAAAATGACAGAAATTACTGGTTTCCAGCAACTGATAGTTTTATGCTGATTTAATGAGTAGGAGATTTGGCACTGGTTTTCACTGAAGATTAATTTGTGGTGGAAAATGAATCGTTCAGCTGCCAGCAAGAATCCCAGGCCAGATCCTGAGGCACACTTTAATTGAGTGAATTGCACTATTAACTTCCAAAGAGCTTCATTTCAATAAGTGGGAACTGCTCAGAGCAGTAGGAATTTCCTCTCTAAATAAAAGCTTAAATATGCTACAATTGCTTAAACCAGAACTCTGTCATGTTAGCGTTGCCGAAGGAAAGCTGTCCTTGATGAGATGGTTTCCTGAGGCCCTTGTAACCCAACCGCTCCATCGGTGCAAAATTGAAGAGCTCTGCAGCGTGGTTTTTTTTTTTTTTTCCCCCCTCAGGGACAGAACATCTTTGCACAGGGATTGAGATAAGTGAAGAATGCAAGCACCGTCCTTAACAAGGCTGCAAGAAGAAGCCTTTGTTATCATTTACCCTTGGAAAGCCAGACGAGGATCAGAAGAGCGCTGGATATAATAAATATCCATCATAAAAACGACAGGCTGCTCCCTTTTTCAGACGGGTAAAAGAGAAGGCAGGTCTGTGGGAGCAGCTGTGTTCTGATCTGTACACAGGCAGGTTGCACCCGAAGGGCAGAAGGCATTGCCGCTCGGGGCCTCTTCCCTTAAACACTTATTATTCAGGCAATGATTTCTGATGCGTTCTGCTTTTAAAAAAACAAACAAAAAAGAATTGTAGGGATCCATTTTCTGTTAACGTAGGGGAGGGAGGTTCTTTCTGAATGATTATCTTAATTTGGACAACTAAAAAACTATTTACATTATTACTATGAAACCCATGCATGTCTAACAAGGAATTTGGATCTTAAAAGATGCTTGACTTGCAGAGAATAAGGGTCCAGAGGTGTGACAATACTGTTCCAAACTTTCTTGCAACCCAGCTTTTCCAAGTGCTAGCCCAGCGCTGGCCTGGCCGGAGCAGTAGCGGGGATTTCGGTGCTAGAACGCTCCCTTGCCCCGAGCCCCAGGGTGCAGTCTCGGCACAAGGCTCGAACAGCCGCAGAGCTGGTTTGCTGCAGAGCAGGAGAGGTGAAGAAACTGAAGAAACGGGCCGTTGGGAGGTCGATTTGCAGAAGCAAAATGCTCGGTTACTCGCAGGCGGGAGCATTTCTTGTCCCAAACTGGCAAATTGCAATTCTTACTTGGGTAGTGTTTTCCCGGTGACTCAGGATGATGGGTGGGTTGGGGAGGCAGGAGGGAAAGCATAAAAAAAGGGTTGCTGTCTGCCCTAGAAAATAAGTTAACTCTAAAGCTATACGTATCTGCATGGCTGTTTCTCAGGAAAGTCATCTAAGGCTGCATCAGCCTCTCTGCTACTTAATGCCTGCTGGGGAAACAGAGGCTCAAAGCCTTGTTGATGTGGGTCCAAAGTGTGCAGAAGGGGATTTGGGGTGCAGCAACTCGCACTTGGTCCCTGCGCGCAACCTGAAGGTCCGGCAGTGAAATCAAATGAAGAGTTTGGAGAGGGGAAGGGATGAAATACGGTCAGCCCCAGGCTGAAGTTGGGACAGTGCGCTGAGAGCACGCAAATGCGATGTTAGTTATAAGCATCAGGTGATGCCCAAAGCTTTTAGGCTGGCACAAACACCTCCTGTCTTTCTGGTTAGTAGCTACTGCAGCGTCAGTGCTCGGTGGTTAGAATTACTTAATATTAGAACAAATGCAGGAGAAGAGAATCTTATCTCTCTTTTTTTGCCCTTAATTCATTACACAGTCCCCTCCCATCCACCTTATGTCAGATGAAGAGTTTTTAGGTTGCTTTTTGGCACCTGCCCGCTTTATCACTTGAGGGTGAGATGCTGCCAAGTTCAAGAGAAAAAAGAAGTCAACACCTGTCACTTCCTAACCTTTTACATCTGCATCTTCGTCTTCTGGTTTCTAAAATAAAAAAGAAAATGTTTTAGTTCCAAGACACCATGTAACAGCTCAGTAAAGAAGCGCTGCAGCAAGGTAGGGCTGGCGTTCCCTAGCAGCTCGCTATCTTTACGACTAACAACGAATAAACCAAGCTTATTTTTGAGGAAAGCCATTCAAGGGAGCGGTGCTGCAGCTCACGTTTCCCCAGCAATCCCCTTAAGTATTTTCATGTATTGAATTTTCACATGTGTAACAGCAGCAGGGTCAGCTGGGGAACACTGAGTTATTTTCTTACTGTCTCCAGGGACGTTGGCATGTTGCTGAAAATCCATGGGTGGCAATTAATTTCCACAACAGATGAGCGGCAATGACACCGCGCAGCATGCAACCAAACTGAACGATACTCCTCCCCGTCTTATCATCTACATTGCTACTTTGGGGTGTATTCAGTGAAATACAATGTCCAGCCCTTCATTTTAGTGCTAGGTAAAAACCTGTCCTTGAGGGCTGGAGCTGCCGGCTGCAGAAATTAGTCGTGGCTGATGGCTTTTGACTGACAATGCACATCAGCCTTAAAAGACAGAAGTAAATCACTGAGTGGCATTTGTAGGTTAACGATGTTGCAGGTCACTGGGGAGTCCTAGCGCCCACGGAGGGCTCCTGGTGACTTCAGAGGGAAACTGGACCAACTCTGGGCGCTGTGCTGCATCGTCGGCTATTTCCCTCGAGAAGAATGAATTTTGGCTGCAGCTTCTCGATGTTTTTTTCATGCATTTCTTCCTATCGCTGCCGACTGTGGTGATTAGCACTTTTCAGGGCTGAAGGATGCTGAAAATTGTACTTTTTTTAACTGGGTCAGCTGGTAAACCAATCTCACGTCAGCTCCAGGCTGCGGGGTCAGTAAGGACCGAGTTAGATTAATTCAGCAGCAAAACACTTTGGTGTTCCAGGCAAACGAGCTGAGCCAGTGTAATGAAATCAGTGTAACTTCTGGGGGTACTGGAAAGTTAAGCTGGTTTCAGCGAACATTAAATTGATTTAAATACATTTGCACTCACCGCTTGCTCAGGGTGATTTAAAGACATTTCAAACATGAAATTTTGTCAGAGGACTTTTGCCTACCCAGATTTTGCACTACTGCTTTATCTGTAGCAGTCTCTGAACCTGTGTAATGGAGTTGCTCATTTGATTACAGCTTGAGCTTCTAACAGGAGTATCGGTATTTGAATTTGCAAGCCCTGCGCCGGAGCATG